GGAAAATTTCTAACCACGTGGACGGTCGGACGCAGAAAAACATGGCGGACTGGCAAGAACTAGTATGGCAGAGGTTCGTAAATAGAGACATTTGTATGATTCGGCTCTCAGAGATCACCGTGATCAACATGTTGTTAATAATTCTTGGAGAGAAATAGCTCGCACTGTCGGAAAAGACGAGGACGCTGTTAAAAATGCTGGTTTGCCATGTTGTAAACAGTAATTTCTACTTCTACTATGGTGTAGTGTTGGATGCATGCTGTAGAGCTCCATGCTGCCCCCTACAGTTTGGGAGAATATTGGCTCACCGCAGAGACAAGCCACATGAAGCATAAACGCTGCGAGTTGTGAAGCGCGTTCCATCTGCGAGCCGCATCACCAAGCGGAAAGTGAATGCATCAAGCATAAACCAAGCTTAAGTCATCAAAACAAAAAATCTGGTTTCCATTAAGGTGCATGCTGGTTCCGTTGAGATTTATATGTGTGTTTGTCATTGAACAGCATATCTTGGCTGAGCCTAAAACCCATAAAGGGAAGTAAGTCAGTTGTGGGGTTTCCTCTGTCCTACTGGCCTCCATCTGTTGCAGCTGTGAGAGTATAATCAGCTTGGTTTGAGAATATCAGCAGTGGTTATCAGAGAGGCTTTCTAGCATTTCCAACTGTTGGTGCAACATGCTGGGATCAGCTAAACCAAGATTGATCCAACTCTGGAAAAAAAAAAAAAAAAAAAAAACCTTGAAGTCCCTTCACCCTGGTGGGTGATTCTGGATTTATCACTGATGGTGGGATAAAGCCTCTCCTCCTGCATAATTGATGGCTGTAATCCATGTGTTGTTTTAGAAACCTGACTTGTTGAGGTGTGAATACATTCCCTACAGGTTTTGTACGCAGGTGAGTCATTTTTGGAGCCAAGAGATTTGGGTCTCCCACTGACTGGGTGAAGATTTGTATTACTGGGACCTGCTGGATGTGGTTTGGTTCATTACAAATACCTTAATAAAGGCTAATGAAAAAAGGTGGGCATGCAGTAAATATTCTATCATCTTTCTAAATATATTTATCCATCTTTTGGCCCTGGTCTCAAGCTGATTTCACTTTCACTCTGCTCTTATTTTTGATGCTGGATGATCCTCAAAAACACTGTTAATGATCCTTCATTCAATATTTAATCACTTTTCTAACAACGTCTTAATCCACACGAGTACATATTCACAGCCAATAAAGCGGCCCAGTCTCAGTGACATGATCACTTTAATCCCTGGGGTTAGGAGGTGGTTGAACTCCTCGGGGCTTCTGTGTACTTTTAGGAAAAGGACAGAGGTACTTCTTGGTCTAAATTGTATTGATCTCTATCTCTCGTTCTGCTTTAACTTTGCAGAGTTAGTAATTAACCCAGCTCTGACTTAATCGCTCATCAAATTAACACGAAGCATTGAAAATGTAACACAGTGTCTTAATATCCAAGTGTCTAAACACAGAGTGGATGAATAATTTAACAGTTGTGTTTTTTTTAAGAACGTCAATGTCCTTTAAACTAAAACAGATAGAGAAACAGATGGTGTAGTTTTTGTCTTCACTTCTTAAATTCCTACAAATATAAAAGTGTTTCAGACAATGTGACAGATTAGAGTCAAAGGACACTACACCGAACGCATATTTAAGATTTCCTTTCTGTGCTATAAATTAAAACGCTGTCTTCGGTGTGTCTAAGACAAAAAGAGAGCTGTTGTTTATCATATCTTATACAGTGCTGTAAGAAGTATTTGTGAGTTTATATATTCTTTCTGTTTTTGCATGTTTTCACAACAAGCAAATGTTAATATCTGACAAAAGAAATCCTGTAAATATTTGATTTTGTTTATTAATGGACAGATATTATGCAAACCTCCCCGTTTGTGCTGCCATGTGGTTTTCTTCTGCCTTAGTGAATACTCCAAATTATAAAAAAAACATCCATTCATTTTATGTCAATACTTGGTTTAGACATAATTTGCCTAAAATGGACACTTCAAAACATCTCTGATTATGACATCACAAACAGGGAATTTTGCATAGAACCACCTCCTGCCTAGCCAGACTGGATGTCGCGTCCAGCTCTAGCCTGTTTTCTTAAAGAGACAGAGCCCTGAAACGGCTCTTTCTGGAAGGTACTGAAATTGTCGAGAACTAAACCGCTGAAATCACTTAAAGTGAGAGGGGTTTAAGCCCCATTCACTGTGCTAGTTGATGTCTGTGCAGCTTCCACAAAGAATGAAAGTCATTGATTCCAGTCAAAGAATTTACACCAGCTGCAGTGTGGAGCAGATCTGGATGCGGCACTGCAGAGTCATTCTACGTGGCTTCTATTTGTTCCAGATGCCACATATGGATCATCATGAAGTTGTAGAAATTCAATGAACCAGACAGGAAATAAGACACATGGCAGTGTAGCGCATATGCACACATTACGTCCAAAAGGGTCAATTTTCACCTATATATTGATCAACATAACCTTTCATCTCCAGCGTAAATCCACTTTCTATGTGGCCTTCCAAATCCAGAAGGTTCTGTTCAGCGCGTGTTGACATTCCAAGAAGAAAAAAACATTCAAACAAACATTCTCTCCCAAGGTCCTACCCTCTCTGCATGAAAGCCAGACGTCAACATTCTTCACTCTGAACAAGTGAGGACTCCATGACTTTTACAACTCAGAAGCTTACATATGTGCATCCGATTTATCACAAAATAAAACTTGTGTTGCACCATTCGGTCAACCTCTGTTGTTAATGACAGGGATAACGGTTCACAGGGTATTACAGTACCAGGGGACGAGTTTATCATCACCTCTCAGTACACATAGTTGTTATTGTGTTAACTTGTGATCAGTGCTTCTTGTATAAACTGAAGTCCATCAGGAACCCGTGCAGAGTCCGGTCCGTGTTTGTTCTGCACTCTGCAGAAATCAGGCTCGAGTGCTAAAAACTCTATGAACATGTTTTTTATTGACCACAGAACTAGTACATGTCATGTTGAAAGCAGGAGGTTTGGACCCAAAATGCAGAAATCCAGACAACTCAGGCAGGGACAGTTGAATAAATGAAAACATTCTTTTATTAGGATTATGAGTAATTTCCAAGGGCAGGAAGCCGAGCCAAAAATCTTGGAAAACTGAATTACAGAAACAAAAGCTCATTTATGAGAAAGGACCTGGAGTTACTAGAGGAGGGCAGAACAACGCTGACAAAGGCCTAGTCCACACGTAGCTGGTTTTCTTTAAAAACGAATATCCGCCCCTCCAAAAACTTGCATCCACACCACCTCGTTTTAAATAAAAAACTCTGTCCACACGTACCCGGATAAATACGTTGTTAAGGACATGCCAGACCTGTAGTCGGCAGTACTTCCCCCGTTCTTAACCTCGTCCTTCGTCTGTGGTCTTCCGCAAGGAGCAGTAATTCCACTTGCAAAAACAAACAAGCAAAAAGCGCTTGGACAATTGATAAAGCGAGCGCAGCTCTGAGGGCATCCATGCTGTCGGCTAGTGTAAACACAGGTCGCACACGTGATGTCAGCATTTTTTTGTCGCGGAAAGTGACGTTGCGGACCTTAAAACTCCGGTTTTGTCTGTCCACACGCAGACACCCAAAACGGAGAAAACGCAGATCTTCACTTTGGCCGGAGTTTTTAAAAAGATCTGTTTTTGTGTGAAAAAACTCCGTTTTCGTGTGGATGACAGGCCAAAATGTAGAAAAATATCTACGTTTTGGCAGATCCCCGGCTACGTGTGGACAGGGCCTCACAAACACTGCGGGACAAGACAGGGTTTTAAACACAGGGGAGCAATCAGGGGAACAGGTGACAGGTGTGAGGAGTGAGACAGGTGCCATTAATAAACTAAATGGGGAAAGAACTTAAGCAGAGGGGAAGATAAACCATAATCTATAAAACACTAAATAACTAAACCTAAAGACTAAGGGCAAAGATAAACAACTAATGACTAGAGGGGTGAGGGGGACAATAAGAACTACATGGGAGTGACTAGGAGGAAACATGAGGGAAGCCTAGAGGGAGCTGGAGAACACAACACCGAGCACAAGGGGACACAGAACATGACAGTATATATTTTCAAAAGTCATGATGTGTCTCCTTTAAGGAAAACATTTTCATGACACACTTTGTAGAATGTGAAGAAATTGACATCATGAAATAATTTTCGAATCACATCGTTTGGAAAGCTGAATTTTAGCCTCTTAAAGCCCTGATTACCCAATGATAAAACTGTGGGATTTCAAAAATCTATTTCTAAATAAATAATTAATAAATCTCATGAAAATGTAATAAAAATACTCCAATTTACAAATGAACTAATAATCCAGAATATTAACCCAACAACACCAACTTTTAAATATGTAGTAATGGCTTGAGTCCCATGCAACACATGCTCTCAACGTTCAGAGCTTTGTTTACCTTGTTTACCCTTCAAGTCGTTTAAAGTTGCAGCAGCAAAACAGAATGCGCCTGCATAAAAGGTAATTAGTGTTTTAGTTTCAGCACATTTTCTGCTTGACTGGGTCTGTGAAACTCACAGAAATCTGATTCAATGTGCTTATATGTGAAAAGCTGAAAGCCAGAGGATGAGTCAGATTCCTGAGCTGTTTTTCTGCTGTCATCAGAAACATACAAACACACAGAAACAGGGGCGCGCACCCCAGATGTAGGAAGACTGCATCAAAGCAGCTCCAGAGGTCACACTCATACTGAGGTCATCAGAGTCTGAGAATTAGTGCCGATCTATTTAAACTTTAAAAGTGCTGTTGTGCTTTTATTTGAAGTCCAACTAAAGCAGTTGTTTGTTACCTGACTGAATCTGAATAAAATGCACGTATGGTTCTGTTTGATGTGGTTTTCTATCAGGATATCATCGCTGAAGTTAAAGATTAAGTGCAAAAACAAACCAAAATCCTGTTAGTCCATCATGTTAGGTGCACTGGCTCATTATTTACTTGTGCTGTTCTTTACAGCTGTCGTTTGCTGCAACAACCCCAGTCCTGGCCGACAAGAAAAAGTACCCCAACTTCTTCCGTACGGTCCCATCCGACAACGCTGTGAATCCAGCCGTGGTCAAGTTCCTCAACTACTACAACTGGAGCCGCGTGGGCACCCTCACGCAGGACGTTCAGAGGTTCTCAGAGGTCAGTTTGTGATTAGGATAAGCTTTATGGGCCATTCCCATCTGTACCGGGTCGGCCCGGGCCGGGTAGCCCCAGTCGGCCCCAGCCTGGCCCGGTTGATTCCACACATCCTTGTCTTAAGCCCATGTGGGCTGATTCTACCCACCAATCAGAGGCTTGCTCTAATGGAAGGTGTGAATTTGCTGTCAGCAGTGGGTGTGTTGGCCCTGGTCGGCCTGAAGCAGACCCCCTCGAGAAGAGGGCTGAGAATGAGCCTTGGTTGGCCCGGAAAAATACCAGGCCACCCAGATATGTAAACAACCTACGCTACCCGGCCCGGGCCGACCCGGTACAGATGGGAATGGCCCATTAGTTTACAGTTGAACCCAGAAAGGGGAAATCAAAATAATGTCACTCGTTAAGCAGAAAACACAGAAACATCTGATTCAGCCCTGAAAATGCCTCAGTGATACTTGCTACTGTCAGTACTGTTCTGGTTAACCATAATAGTTTCCTGTTATTGCCTGATATACGTGTCTGTGTGCATAAACTAACTGATTAGTTTTCACAGACTAATTGGGGGAAGGATTTGACAAAATAGATCCGCCTGCATTCATTACTCTATAGAGCTCCCTCTCTTTTATGGCGTACTTAGGTTACTGATGAACACCAGGGAGGTTGTGAAGCAGGAGCATGTGTGTGCAGTGGAAGGAGAAGGAGCAAATAAATATTTTATACGTGAATATTGTTCAAAAACAGTTTATCCAGTTCTGTTTCGATCCAGCTCTGCTCACACCGCGTTTATGACTTGTTTGAACCCGGTTTAATCCTTTAGTTTCCTCACTGCTGTCACACTGAACAAGAGAACTACTTTCATGTTCTGGAGGTGAATTTTTACCATATTTAGATTTTATTGAAAAAGTGCTTTTGTTTGAATTTGGTGCATTAACCAATAAAAATGGGCACTTTATACAATTATTGTTATGATCATGCCAGCATGATTTGCGTGGTGGAAATTATTCAGATCAAATGCATTGCAAGTGCGTTATGAATTAATGTTTTGCTCTAAACTGCTAATGAGTTTCTTAGGAAATGTGAAGATGAACAATTTTTCAGGAAAGAATGAACTACCTTTTTAGAAAAAAGTACAAAGCTGAAGTAAAGAAAGAACATAACATTTATTGTGGAAGTTTTCTTTTTCTACAAGACTATGACTGACCTAAAGACACACCAACCCAGGGGAGGGAAACAGCTATGAGATGACTATTTAGGTTAAAAAACAAAACTGACCTGGGGCTTCATTTATAAATATTTGGATAGAATATTTTATAAACTTTACTTAAACTCTGCAACAAAAAAATACTTTCAAAAATTTTATTTCTGACCTATAAAACTCTGCTTACGCACAGCCAAAAGCAGCCTCTGCTTTATAAATCAATCCCATCCTAGAAATGTACTCATGTGTTTTTGGATCTCCTACACACACGCTATCTGCCTTAAGTGGTCAATACAAAAAACCTCATGAATACTCTGCATACAATTAAAATGGCTGATCGGTGGCATTTCCACATGTAAATATGGCAACCAAGACTGGAATAGAGGCACTTGCTTGTGACGTAGCCCAGAAAATGTGCTTATGACAGGGTCAAAGTTGCCATAAGCAACACTAAAGAGCTGCCTGCTTCTCCCTCCTACTGGTTGAAAGTGGATTTACAACTGTAGTACACAACGCTGCAGCAGCCTGCTGTAACTAGTGCTACCAATGAGCTAATACCAACATGAGCCAACTGATACTAAATAAGCCACGAAGTAGAAATTTCCCCATTTTTGGACTTAAAATTATTCCTACCAATTCCAGTAGCAACAAAGCCAGGTCATCATCAGTCCATGATTTTGTAGCTTCGGTTCCCTCACACTGGTGTAGGGCACGCCAATTTTCACTCTGGTTTTTAAGTTTTTTGCTTAACGTCCAAAGACATTACCCTCTTATTTTTTACTTCCAGGCTCCGGCATAATGCCAACAAAAAAATGTTTTTCTTCTTCTTCTTGTGCTTTTTATTGATGGTCAGCAAACTATTAAAAAAAGTAACTGCTAGCCTTTACATTAGCTATCGGCAGAGTAAACAGCTAACAGCCGTAAAGCAGTAGAGACCACTTAATCCCTTTTCAGATTGGCATTCTGGAATATGTGTGGACAATTCAGTCCGGTTTTTAACCAGAACTGTTTTCAGACACACCACTTTTGTACCTGAACTTGTCCTTCCTGCTGCCTTCCCACAGCAGGGAAAAGTTCCAGATGTCTGAGGGGGAGGGGGTGGGAAGGCTGTACCCGGATATTGCGTAAACATAGTGCGGCGGGCGTACATGCATCATTTACCCAAACATTGCTATTCAGTCAAACATGGCCGACGAAGACATAGAATTCCTCTGACTGATCGGACTTATGTTAAGCATAAGAGACCTGGATGATGAAGCTCAATGGTTAATAAAGGAATCATGGAAGCGGTGTGAAGCGCTCCGTCGTGCATCCAGGCGAGTTGCCATGGTTCGCCGCATGCTACGGGAGCGAGCTTTCTAGGTGCGCACAGCGCCCCCCCTGTCCCCTCCTCCTCCCTGTTCAGAACTCGACCTCACCAGTCTGAAGCAGCCACCCTGTCCGTGACAAGTCCGGTCCTGTTACTAGGGGCATCGTCCGGTTTAATTACGGAAAAGGTTATCTGGATGTTTGTATTCAGACACAATTGGTCTTATAACAGAGTCCCGAACATTTCCGTTTTTCATGGCGTGTCTGAAGGGGGCTTCAGTGACTCTACCCGTGCCACAAAACCGTTAAATGCTGTTTCTGGACAGCAGAGAGCCACAGATTTCTGTCCAATCTGAAGTTAATCCATTTTCTACCTTAAGCATCACTGAAACAGACTTTTAAAGCAATAGCTTAAAGTGGTAAAAACCGTTTAGTCTTGCTGTAAAGTTTAGCACATTTTCCCACCAAGTTATTTTCTGTAGACCACAAAGTTTGTGTGATGTTCAGGCCTCGTTTTATGTGCAAACAAGCTTTATGTAGAGGCCTCTGATGTTTACAATGATGTCAGGATTTGATTGGACAAAAAAATGTATATATATTTTCCAGACTCTTTAGGTTTTGCACAGTAAAGGTTGGCAAGGCATGTGTCCTGTGGAGACTGTCATGACTCGAGGTATGCGTTTAACCCAAGACATGCAGAAACTGACTCGTGGAACTGGTTGAATTAAAGAAAAAGTCTTTATTAAAAGGAGAACAAAAAGAGCACAGGGAAGTCCTGTGGGGTAGATCGATCGCTCAAGTTCATTCAGAGTTTGGGGAGAACGAGGGGGGAAAAGGTGAGAGAGCCGAGGTGAGCTCTGATGAGTCCAGGGGTGATCCGGGATTGGTGAGGCAGCGGAGAGGGTCCAAACAGGAAACAACGGAGGAGGATGAGACATGGTGTGAATAGTCCAGGTTTTAAACAGCGAAGTTGCGGCAGACAATGAGATCCTGGGAGAGGGGAAACAACACCGAAAGTTAGGATAATCCAAAAGCAGTCCAAAATCAATCCGAGTTCAAAATCCAATAATATCCAGAAAACGAATGTCAAAATGCAGGTTTCAAGAACGAGAGCGAGTGGCTGGGGCTACCGATACTGGTGCAATCATCCGACGTAGTCAAGTGTCTCCATCCTCCTTTTATACCCGAGTTCCTGATTGGGAATCTTCTGCAGCTGCAAACCCCTCCGCTCCTCATCCGTGGAAAATCAGCCTGATAGTGGTGAGATGCAAGATGTTGTCACTCACCTCGGCCCAGGAACATGACAGTGACTGGCCATAACATTATTCAAACATTATTCAGGTTTTTATTTTATTTTATTTAAAGAAAGGGACATACATTTTTTATGCTTGTCCCATTTGTTAAGCATTTTATGCCATTTAATGTTTTCCAAGTTATAAAATTCACAGCACAACTCAGTTAAAGAAAGTTTGAATCAAAACATAATTTCAAACATGAAACATCAAACAAAGAACATTATTAAGAAGCATAAACGTGTGGTTTATAGATGTGGATCATATGTAATTAATAAAGGTATGACAAGTTCTAAAGTTAGAGCTCTAAAATACAAAACTAAGAAGGCATGAAGCAAGAACGAGTAAGGGTTTATATTATTAACAGAAAGAGAGCTAAATCAAAACCACTGGTGGAACAAGAATGTATAAGATATGTCCAAAGTTAGAAAGGGAAGTGTTTGATGTGGAGGTCCTCAATAGACATAAAACCAGGTAGTTTGAGACAGACTAACCCTAACTCTAAACAGTATCTCAAAAGGTGTTTGTGTTCAACAAATAAAAACAAGAATGGTGTGACCAAGAAACAAGACAAGAAGAAATTGTGGACATACATCGGCAATGATGAGAAACTAAGTTCCAACAACCATAAGCTAAATAACCCATGAAACGAGACCCAACAAGACCAGAATCAAGTCAAAAAACATCAAAACCACAAAACACGATTGCAAGAATCAATTGAAAGATAGACTATCTCGTGCAATATTGCATGAACTTGCATGAGCAGTGGTGCTACAAGATCATCACACCCCAAAGCTAAAAGTGCCATTGTCCAGGGGTGGGAGATGGGGAGTGGGGGTGTATAGATGAGAAAATGTGCAACAGAGCAGTTGTGAGGAGGAGGGCTCTGTCAGGGAGTGTGGGACGGCCAACAGTGCTGTCAAATGAGTACTTTTCACTGTGTCACTGCTGCTGTGGTTCCGATTTCTACGTTTGTTGGCCCTCTGGGGCCTCCTTGTAGCATGGGTGCCCCAAGCCATTGTCTTTCCAGCCTGTCAGCATGCAGCACATCTGTGCAGTGAGAGGTTGGTGCTAAGTGTTTTGCAAATGACTCTCAGCTACGGTAAAACTAAATGAGTTAGAGCCAATTTGGTGTTAAGGAATGTTACTTTATTTGTGACATACCTTGTGACGATGCTGGCTTTAAAAGTTGGTCATTTGTGAAT